GAAGTCTATGAGTGGGAAAGATTTAAGTTCGTTTGGCTTACCCGCTCCAAACTTATTGAATGGAATCAACCCTGAACTTCTAAAAGAAATGGCATATAACATCGACGATATGCAGCTCCAAGTACAAGAGATGTTACCAAAACTTCTACCCGAGCAACAAGTGGTTTATGATACAATTTTAGAGAGGATTGAGAGTAGAAAAGGAGGAATTATCTTCCTAGACGCTCCAGGTGGAACAGGTAAAACTTTTCTTATAACTCTCATATTGGCTAAGCTGAGAAAAGAAAATCACATTGCTCTTGCGATTGCATCCTCTGGCATTGCTTCAACACTTCTACCTGGTGGAAGAACTGCACATTCTGCATTGAAACTACCACTTAACCTAGCAACTGCTGAAACCACACAATGCAATATCAGCAAAACCTCTGATCGAGCTGAAGTCCTCCGACGTTGTACATTACTGGTGTGGGATGAATGTACAATGTCTCACAAACGAGCATTTGAAGCATTGAATGCAACACTTCAAGACATCAGAAATAGTCAAGATTTAATGGGGGGCTTAGTTGTTTTGTTGTCAGGGGACTTTAGACAAACCCTACCAGTTATCCAACGTGGAACTCCAGCAGATGAAATCAATTCCTGTTTGAAAAAGTCTGTCCTATGGAGTCATATTGAGCAGTATCACTTGGTTCAAAATATGAGGGTAAGTCTCCATAACGACTGTGATGCCAGACAATTTTCAGGTGATTTGCTCAAGATTGGTGAAGGTAGAATGAAAACTGACCAACATAAGATGATTTCCTTCCCAGAAAACTTTGGTCACATGGTTGCTTCTGCGGAAGAGCTTATAGCAAGTGTGTTTCCTGACTTACAAAACAACCACTATGATCCTGAATGGTTATCCTGCAGAGCAATTTTAGCCCCCAAAAATGACGATGTGAACAAAATAAACAGCAAAATTATGAACATTATTCATGGTGAAGTTAAATCTTATTTGTCCATTGATTCAATTACAGAAGAGGAGCAAGCACTACACTACCCTGTTGAGTTTCTTAACACCTTGGAACTGCCTGGTATTCCCCCGCACAAGCTTGAATTGCAATTAGGAATCCCAGTAATACTACTTAGGAACTTAGAGCCACCTAGGTTGTGTAACGGTACTAGGCTTTTAATTACATCATTAAAAGAAAATGTCATAGAAGCTAAGATTTTAACTGGTTCTGCAAAGGGGGAAGAAGTACTCATTCCCAGGATTCCCATTACAACAGCAAACCTACCCTTCAATTTTAAGCGCCTTCAGTTCCCCTTAAAGGTTGCTTTTTCAATGACGATAAATAAAGCACAAGGACAGACTCTACAGGTTGCAGGCCTCTATTTGGAAACACAATGTTTCTCCCATGGGCAATTATACGTTGCTTGCTCACGTGTTTCTAGTGGAAAAAACCTGTATATTTTCACAAAAGATAGGAAAGCTGTAAACATTGTTTATAAGTCTGTATTGTAAATATATATTTTATTTTAACATGTTCATATTAAAACTTTTTCACCTCCCTTGAGTTTACTTATTTTACAATGTTTTTAATTTCAGATTTCAAAAAGCACCATTTAAACATACATCTACCCCGGACGAAGGACGGGTACTCAGCTAGTATTCTCCATAAGAATAACATGGGAATTTTAAATTTACAATTTTTTTAATTTTCTCCGTTACTAATAACCGAACAAAAATACTTTTATATACTAAATTATTTGTTTTTTTAAGCTCTTTAAAAAGGTCTAAAGAGAAATTGGGAAATATTGTGTTTTGAGGGTCAAAAGTGAGAAAAACCAATTTTTACCCCATAAAACCCCCCGTAAAGCCCCATTCCCATGATCCGATCATGCTGGTTCGCGAACTCATTCAAGTTTATCCCGCTTTACACCTTTAAACCAAATTTCATCAAAATCGGACAAAAATTACTCAAGTTATCGCGTTCACGGACATATATATATATACAAAACGTATACATAATATGTATATTATACAAAAATTTGAACTAATGGTGTTTTTGGCCTCTGGGGACATCAAAATGAAAAAGTAAATGGGTCCCGGGTCTAGGTATTACCGTGCCACCTACGGTAATAGCTACTTCCCTATAGGGAAATTCGCTAAAAGAGGAAGTTTGTATTAGATAAAACACATAGAGATAATGTCATCCTCCAAATTTTGAAATGCTCATTCTATAACAAAATCTCTCTGAAAACAACATTTGTTGTATAGTATCCATTTTGGTCGATTCCTTGTTCTTTATTTGGTTCTAGTACTATTTTAACATCATCTGGCCGCTTTACCAGGCTAAAAGCAAAAAAAGTTTACCATGGGTAAACACTGGTTTTTCAAATAAATGCCAACTTTTGTGAAGGTTTGGCCTTGCGCTTTATTTATAGTAATAGCGAAAGGTAATCGCGATGGGAATTGAGTCCTTGTAAATTAAAAAGGCATATTAGGATATGTAGATATTAGTTTAATTTTTGGCTTGAAAAATATGTCCTCTTTGCCTACTCCAGTAATTACTTCAAACTTTACACTTTTTTAGACATACCTATAACACAACCAATCGTACTCCATTAACTAATCCAAACGCATAAAATTGGGAAAAAGTATATTTCAGCTTTATAGTAGTATACAGGGTGTTTCAGTAAAGCGTAACGGGCTATGCAGATTCAGATTCTACATGCAAAAATAAGTCGAAAATGTTGAATAACCTTTTTCCGATTTCGGCTTAATTTAGCCGTAATCCGCCATTTTTTATTTTTTTGAAAATAATTAATATCTCAAAAGCCCTTTGGAGACATTTTTATAAAACTTGGAATAAACTATAAGTACAGGTATAAACGTTATCCAAAAATATATTTGATCAGGCTCATCAAATTCCAAAATGGCGGCCATTAAAAGTTTTTAAAGTTAAGTTCCATGAAAACCAGCCATTAAAACAAAATTTTAAATGACCGCCATTTTGAAAATTTGATGAGCCTAATCAAAGATATTTTCAGACAATGTTTATACCTGTAGACTTAAAGTTTATACCAAGTTTCATAAAAATGTCTCCAAGGGATTTTGAGTTATTAATTATAAAAAAAATACAAAATGGTGGATTACGGCTAAACTAAGCCGAAATACAAAAAAGTTATTCTACATTTTCTACTAATTTTTGCATGTAGAATCTGAATCTGTATAGCCCACTACGCTTTACTGAAACACCCTGTATACATTATAGTACATATTAATATTACCATATGCTTTAAATAAAGTTAAACCACATGTTTTAAAGTAAACAAAGCAGACATGACCTAGATTCCCATGCTATTTAAATGTGAATTATTTTATTCTGTAATAACCTTTTGGTGCATAATTAAGAAAAACGAATATTTTTCCCCAACATTTCATGCCCAGACCTTTAAAATGAGACCTCTCCCAGCTTACTACGGCCTCCAGTTCGCTCACAATTTCATTGTAAAATTTTGGGCTTACGGAATTAGATAAATAGATAGTGTAACATAACCATATACTCATAATGTAAACAACTCTTTTCTTTACACTATTAAGGCCTCTGGGGCATTAGCTCATTTCTCTTTTGTTGGCTCATCTACAAACCAACCTTTCTTTGGACACATCTACCAAGTTTCTACACCCAGCCGTTCTCTCAAATTAGTTGAGACAAAGAAAACTAGTTTCCAATTAGATTAGGAAAATACATATGATATTGTATGATGGCAATATCTATATTCTTGGAAATATAGATGTTATATATTTGCATTACACAACAACGCAATTATTTATGGTAAGTAATGCACAATGTGCTACTGGAAAATAGGTCGACAATGAATGGTGCACTTATCTTTACTAGCACTATTTTGAGATTATGGCCTTAGTTTGTAAATTGCACAATGCTAAAATAGGCTCAAAATAAAGTTATAAAAAGTTCTCATAACTTTAGAATTGATCAATGTTTTCAAAAACGGATTGCAACATCGTATTAAGGGTAACAATGTTGTTTGGAACGGTGGGTCACAACCCTACCTTTCCATTTGATAGAATAACTTTGTATCCAATATGGTGGATCCAAGATGGCGGCCAAAAATTTTAACCCAGTCAAGAAGTACTTACTACTCTACAATGATCTGACGTGGTCCGGAGTTGATATCTTTAGAAATGTAGAAAAAGTTGGGGGGAACTCATTTAAAACTCACTCTGTATAAAACCAGTGAATAAACCTCACATATGAATAAACCTTAACTAGTACATTGTCTTCGTAAAATATGAAAAGGCAAATAAAGGTGTGTATCCCTACCCAGTTAATATTTAAGTGTATACTCCTTTTGTTAAGGCTTAATAACATTAGGGCAAAGTAAAAAGGCATCATATTGACCAAACTTAACCCTAATTTTTTTCTGATCAACATAAAAAAAATTATAACTAGTGTAAGTTTATGTGGTGGTATTCCTGTTAAAGGTGCGATCGAAATTCTATCAAATTTGGCTTAATCATCGGCTGATTCTTAATTTTTTGCGAGCAACAGACAGTACCTGTTTAAATTTCCAAAAAATATTGTTTTTCTTCCAATTGGAACTTGTTATAGGACTTACTTCATTAACAAATAAGACCAAAGCTACTTAAATAAACCAGCATATTTATTCACAAAAAATCATATGTTTGCTGTCTTCAGCAGAGTTAAACGGTCAAACCTAAGTAGTGATTCGATTGATTTAATGAAAAAAAAAACATCAACAAAGACAAACAACTCTTTTTTACACAAAAGATATGGCGTACAGCGATATCTATTATGACACATAGATAATATATTTCTTAGTTTGTTTAAATATTAGAATAATTTTTTTCATATTATTAATCTTTTTAGGGACTTATGTCCCTATACAAGCCACTGGTTAATATTATATTACACAACGCGTGCCGGGTAATTACTAGTCTTATATATATATTTGTATGATTAGGGGTTTCAGGTTAAAGAAACAAAACATATCTCAGATTTTTACTATACATTGAGTGCAAAACTACAATAGAACCATAATATACCGTCACGTTTTTCAATATTTATCATCCCAAGGTGCAATCCTAGCCCGTTCTTGCGCTATCTCCCTATCCCTTTCTTCCTGTTCCACCTTGCTATCCTGTTCTTCTTGTTCCACATCTAATACTGTTTTTGCTTTTCCATCTCTTCAAGAGTCTTTACAGAAACTCCTTTTGCAATGGCGTTTTTGATATGTGTACACTCTTCCTTGTCCATTTGTGAATCGCTCATATGATAAGTGGTGATCGTATATTTGACGCAGCGGTGTTCTGACGTTCTGATGACTTCATTACACTTGTCGCTGTATAGGGTCCCATCTATGATAAGAAAATCGTCCCCCTTTGTTTCAGATGGCGTACTTGGACATTTATAGGCGATCGTATATGTACCTTGACTCAATGGGATTTTAAAATAACTGTAGCAATCCCCACGAATATACCTGTCATCTGTTTGGGATATTGTAAAAGATATTTCCCTTGAATTGTTGGGAAGAGTGTATTGTCTAATTCCATTTCCTAGAAGATCAAAATGAAATTACTTCTTTGTTTAGTAGAAACAAGTATATAATGGTATTTTTATAGCTAAACTGTTAACAGAAATTATAAAGAAAGTTACGTAACATCAAACTTAAATTAACTGAAAGTATCTAACACGACAAATAGCATGATAAATAACTGAATATGTTTAGCAATGAAATAATGAATACAGTAGATTATAATCATAAACTTGGTTAGAGATTCTAATTTGGAAAATGTTTTGTCTCATCTGCTTTTTTTATAATTATTTCAACCATGATATTACGTAAATGTTACCTTATAACAAAAAGCTTGAAACTCAATGCAACATCATTACATTTTATTTACACACCCATGTACACAAGTAAATGCTATATCTTGAGCTCTGCAGTTTATTTTTATTTTTTTATTATTTTTATTTTTTTGAGCGATTTGTTCTTGTGTTGAGAGCGATTTGTACGTGGCATTTGTGTGTTAAATGTGGTAATCATATCCATGTGATTGAAAAATAGCCTATCCAAATAGGATGTTAGCTTCGGTTGTCATTTGATTGGTCAAACGTCAATCTAACGTTTTAAACTATAAGCTAAGTTGATAGCGAAATTGAATGGCGCAAACCAGAGGTAAATATCGTACCCCTATTCAAAATAGCAGCCATTTTAATTATTAACACCCCCCCACACTTTAAACACCCCCAGTTAACTTTAAAAATTTAATATTTTAATACTGGCCAAAAGGTGAATCCTCTTTTTTTATAAAGGTATGCTGAGTTTAGTTTTCCTGCTATAACCTGTAAAAAGTTAAAAGGGGATATTTCAAAATTATTGCCATTTTGATTAGGTGTGCAATATTGACCTCTAGTTTGCGCCATTTAGTTTGTCTTGAGAATTCCTTTAAAATGAGGGGTCACATGATAGGTGTTTACATTTGAAAATTTGGGGCTGCCCCCAAAATATCCCATTTTGGGGGCTGGGGTAAAGTTGTAACTTTGCTGAAAAAGTGCATTATCTTATGTTGTAAATATGTGCCAAGTTTGGTTTTCCTACTTCAACGCGTTAAAATGGTAACTGGGGGGGTTTCAGACTTTTGCCTAACTCTGTATTTGCTATGTCTGTTTGTTTGTCTGTCTGTAATTTAAATGCGTTTGAAGATATTAAATCAGATGTAATATGGATCGTAAATGAAAAACAAAAATATCGATATATCTAAAAGAAATCATTGATAATAATTAATATGTTCCCCTTAAGAGGAAAGTGCCAGGAAACGCACCCAGATTCAGAATTGAATATAATTAATATATAGACACATTGAATATTTCGGTTTGTCACTAAAATGAAAACGACAATTTTTGTTAAAATGTTGTTTTAAATATCACTACAAAGTAAAATTACTATTCAATTGAAACAGCATGCAACTACTCTTTGCGTGGCAGACTTGGACAGTCAAATCTTTATTATTGTTATTAATTATTAGTATTTAATTTATTAGTGTATAATTATATTTACCTGATGGTACCATTGTGAATGAAACAATGAATACCTGAAAAATTATTTTAAATAAATTATCGAATATTCTGTCTTATTAGTATGCATGTACATTCAATTTTATTATATAAATATAAATACGTAGTTTGCATCTTAATTGAATTTTTTTTATTTAAAATAGTATTTTATATATCAAATTCTCATGAAATTACCAGTGGACCCCCTCTTAACCGACCTCGCATTAACCGATAATCGGGCTATGCACCCTCGTTTGTAAAATATTACCGTTTGTTTTAACCTACCTTGCTTTGAGAGCAGTTTGTCTTAACGGCCGCTTTCTAGGAATCTCGGGACTTTAGCCCCACGCTCAGCGATGGGAGCCATACGCTTATCTCCACAGGATGTGACTAAGAATAAGTTGTTTTGTATTTACAAAATGGTTGTCTTTTTAATTTCGACCAAAGGTTCTGTACTATATTGTGATATATTTGGTAAGCATCAATTAATATTACAGTACTAAAGTTATCAAAGTAAGCATTTTTATTGACTCTTGCCTACATCTATAATTTATTTCACTGAAGGTATTTGACTTAAAACCCTGTTTTGTGTTTATTTGTGACTTTTCCTATCAATATGAAAAAAGAAGATAAACAGTAAATTTTATAAAAATTCAACTAAGTCTTCAAAAAATTTATTATATCATTCAAAACGAATAGCACTTCATTTTGTTAGTTTTATGGATTTCCCGTTTTAACCGACCATTTGAGCTATCCGACCTAGATCCGGTCCCTGTTAAGAAGGTCTACTATATGTATCTTTAAAATAATGTGTTTTGATCGTTATAAAAATATTGATTATTTTTCAATGGATAAAAGTAAGATCTCACAGCGAAAGAAGAACGTTTGAGTAGAGCGTTGTAATATAATTAGTTACATACTGGAGCTATAAATAATTGTGAATAACCATGAAGAAAGTTTTTGTTCAGTTGTTTCTATGTAGCTCACAAGCCACACATTCCCATAGCTTCTTTCCTTTTAACATCTACTTACACCCCATGTAAAAACTTAAATGTTTTGCGCAAGAATATGTACAATAATACTACAACTCAACATTACCCTATGATTTTTTATCATTAAAAATATTGTATCCTAGACACACCAAGAAGACTCGCACCCTCATCACGGACAAATTCTTTGAGAAACTCCTTATATAGTTGCACAGACTTCGTCGTAATACATAAAGAACCACTAGCTACAGCCACAAGTTGTTAAATGGTTATTGGACGTCATTGGAGCTATTAAACAAGTGGCACAGGTGTTGTTCACTACTATAGAGTACGACTACATGGCGCAATAATATAAAATAGTGAACTAAGTATTGTAAAAAAAATGATAAAATGATAAAACAAAGCTACTACAGTACTACGTTATCTTAGGAATTTAAGGAAAAGTGTAATCATCAAGTACGTAAAGTTGATGATAATAATCCTGGGACGAAAAGCTTTTACCCTACAGCTGTTTTTCAAACTAGTCTTTTCCAATCTAGTTCTTAGAATGTACAATATTTACTTTACAGTATTGTTTACTTACTTAACAGCATTGTTTTGTTACTTTACAGTGCAAGTTTGGACCAATGAGGTTTAAGGATTGAGGCAAAAGAAGTAAAATTTGTATGCTTCGAATGTCAACTTATCAGCTGTTAAGGCCAATTTAATTGATTATAAAATGGTGATTGGTTGGGACAATAAGTTGTTGCATCACAATTAGTGGCAATGAGAGATTATGTACGAAAACATAACCTTTAAGACATTCATAGAAATTAAATGCACTCGCCAAGGCTCGTACCTTAACATTTCTACTTGTGTCTTAAAGACTGTCTTTATACGATCGTTGCGTAAACTAATAAAGGTGGAATAAGTAAATTTGCGCAATACTGCTTTTAAACGACTCGTTATCTAACAGAAATAAATAGGAGCATCAATTACTTATACAGTTCTTTATTGGTAAACATTATTAATGTTTCTCGGGTGCTTAGTATGGTCAACATAGGTTTTTAAAATATATACTACCATAGATGACTACCTCCAACTATAAATAATCATATTGATATTAAGTCATAATAATTGAAGTTTTGTCTCCAATAGCATTAAAATACAATAAGAAAAGTAAAATAAATTAATTAAATAAAATACAATAGTGTAGTAGCTTTAGATACTAACATTCTAGCTTTAGATTTCTAACATGTGTTGAAATAATACAGGCCATTTCCGTTGATTCATTGCCGCTATGTTTTTTTCAGGTTGAAATTTTAAAATTATACGGGTTCAGGCAAAAGTCTGAAACCCCCCAGTTACCATTTTAATGCGTTGAAGTAGGAAAAACAAACTCGGCACATATTTACAACATAAGAAATTGCACTTTTTCATCAAAGTTACAACTTTGCCCCAGCCCCCAAAATGGTGTATTTTGGGGGCAGCCCCAAATTTTCAAATGTAAACACCTATCATGTGACCCCTCATTTCAAAGGGTTTTTAAGAGAAATTGAATGTCGCAAAACAGAGGTCAATATCGTACCCCTAATCAAAATGGCAGCCATATTAATTATTTAAGATGAGCAAGCAAGATAAACTCTGGACACCCCCAATTAACTTTATAACGTGTGGCAGTGGGAAAACCAAACTCGGCACATGTTTACAACATAAAAAAATGCACTTTTTCATTAAAGTTAGAACTTGTACCCGGTCCCCAAAATGGGGTATTTTTGGGGCAGCCCCAAATTTTCAAAAGTAAATACCTATCATGTGACCCCTCATTTTAAACAGTTTATCAAGACAAATTAAATGGCGCAAACTAGAGGTCAATATCGCACCCCCAATCAAAATAGCAGACATGTGATCACATACTGTTCACAAGCAGTAGTTAGGGAGCAAATAATGAAAAAAGTCCATAACATTTATGAAGATCTCTGTTAGTATGAGAGATTACAATGGTCAAGGACCTTCCTAGACCCACCTTGATAATTCCGGTAACATTTACTGAACTACAGAGAAATTAGCAAAAAGTACAGTACAAAACGTAAACAATAATACCCCCGTCGCAGCCAACCTGCCGACTAAGCAAATTTCTATTTACCTGAATTGATTTTCAATTAAGTGTATTTAATTAACATTAGGTTTTATGAGTACCTAGGATTGCTGCTACAGGGAGGGTGAAAAAGTGGTTTTTAGTAAAGTATTAATAATTTAGTATAAAATAAAGAAATTTACCAAGTGTGATCAAAATATATCCATCAGTAAGCAAACTTACAATATTTTATAATATTCTCCATAAGAATAACATGGGAATTTTAAAATAAAAATTCTTTGAATTTTCTCCGTAACCAATAATTGTACAAAAACATCACACTCTTGTGATCACATGTTCCATATCCGTTCCACATATTGTGATTACACACAAAGCTAGACAGTAAATCTAGGCCTGGTGCACGCAGAGTGGAGAATTGACGGATCCGACATCCGACAAGAATGCCCCAGAGAGCAATGTTGTCGTGACGTTTCGGATCGGAAGGTGTCGTGTCTGACTAGTGGGTTACAGTCTATTTAAAATAATGCAAAGTAATTTTGTCGGAAGGTGTCGGAGCCTTGACAGAAGGTGACGTGTCGGAGAGTGTCGGACCAGTGGGTTTCTTGCTTTATATGTGGACGGGCAAATGCAATGTTTAACAGAGACCACACACCTCGTTGTTTCCCTAGTTGGAACACATAATTCTTCATCCAAACTCTATGGTTCTTGAGAATCACTTAATTGTATGATAATTCAATGTAAAACAGTACAATGACGAAATACATATTTTTTAAATACAAAAATGGTGCAAAACCTGACCAAATACACACACAAATTGCAGTTGGTAAAAGAAATATGATTTTTAGATTGTATAACTTAAAATAAAAAAACTCTTTCATGTTGGAAACAGTATAAAATAAACTTAAATAACAACAAAAATTGTTATTTACCAATTATTAGTGCTAATATAATTTATAACAAATATATAATAATGGGGTGTCAAAAACACCCCACGCGAGTACATACGTTGTAGACATATTGTATACATCTGAATTGTGTATATTGCAGTGGCTGTGGCTTGTCACCTGAGAAGGCAGATGAGTTGTTGATGGATGTCAACCTTCTCAAGATGGACGTTGAAGATCTCAAGGCTAAGGTTGAGACTGTTGCTGGTGCTACTGGTATGTTTTATCCAACACTATTACACTAGCCATCATACTATCAAATAAGCATATCGACATCAACCATGTGTTAAAAATCCAACGGAGTGGATTAATTTCTAAGGGAAAAGAGGTTTTGTATTTTAATGTCCTCCAACGAATCACAGCTCTGCAGCAAAACTGAACTGGGTAGCTTAGTGGTAATAGTGCTAGCCTAGTAATCAAAAGGTTGCCGGTTCGAACCTGAGAAAAGAGTGTAGCTTTTGATGGTTCAAAACTGGACCCAGCTGTCTCTGATCATTGGGCTTTAAATGGTCCTGACTTATCATCTACTATTTATACTACCATACTACTACTTAACAGTTGATCTTAGTTAGTAACAAAGCTACACAAGGCATCACATTCCATTCTACACTCATCCTTCACTCATATTTGGGTTAAAATACACACATAGGGGGCGTCCCCATCTCAAATTATAATAATGATAACTTGGTTCACTGTTTTTTCTACCTATAAAGATAAGACCTCAGAAGACTGTGTAAGCTGAGTAATCATGCCATCAGTAATTAGGTTTTTTTTTGTATTTTCTATGTTTTCAAAACTTTTATTTCTTTTTGTTCAATATTTATTGACGACTCACTCCCACGCACGGGTTTTCTCATGTTTTATTTTGTTTATTTATATTTCAGCAACTGCAGTATACAGGGTGAATAAAAAGTCAAGACCCCCTCTCCAATAGCCTATTTTTCTAAGTAAATACACAGAGATATCCTTTTGGTGGTCATGCAATCTTAGCAGGAAGTTTCATTTTATGATTTTGAAATCTTTGAGTGTCCCTCCGAAAGGGGGGATTTCGGGGGCAACTCAAATATTTTAAATGTAAACCCCCTTCAAGTGACACCTCATTTTGAAGTGTTTACAAAAGAATGGTGAAAACTAGAGCTTGCTATCTCTTCTCTATCCAAAATCGTAGCCCGTCAAAGGTTGTTGAAAATCAATGGTAATATTGGTTCGTAATGGTAATATGGCTAAAATTTTGGATAGAGAAGAGATAGCGAACTCTGGTTTTCAGATTCACCATTCTTTAAGTTTTTGTAAACACTTCAAAATGAGGTGTCACTTGAAGGGGGTTTACATTAAAGTTTTTCGAGTTGCCCCCAAAGTCCCCCTTTTTGGGGGACACTCAAATTTTTCTAAATCATCAAATGAAACTTCCTGCCAAGGCTGCATGACCATCCAAAGGATAACTCTGTAATATTTACTTAGGAATAAATTTAAGGGAGGAAATTACGTTTTATAACACAAGAAAATAAATTTAACAGTAACGTCATGAAACTTTTGACGGGCTACCATTTTGGATAGAGAAGAGATAGCAAACTCTGGTTTTCACTTTTCACCATTCTTTAAGTTTTTGTTAACACTTCAAAATTAGGTGTCACTTGAAAGGGGGGTTACATTTAAAATATTTGAGTTGCCCCCAAATCCCCCTTTTGGGGGGGGCACTCAAAAATTTCAAAATCATAAAATGAAACTTCCTGCTAAGATTGCACGAACACCAAAAGGATATCTCTGTATATTTACTAAGAAAAATATTAGAGGAGGGGGGGTCTTACCTTTTTTCACCCTGTATAGTATTGTATATGTAATATTTGTAAAATGCTTGTAACAAATGTTTATTTTATACAAAATAAAAGAAATTTTGATTTGTATAATTTGAAGTTATGTCAACAATAAGGGGTTTCGGTTTGTGGGCAGCCATGATATTAAATATCTGCAGCATTCATTGTGAGCTAAACATTTGACAACACATTTTCAATTTTTCAACAAAGAAGATGATTTTCAAAACAACTCAAGTCATACTTTGGCTAAATAGTTTGTAAAATAAAAATTACTTTGATACAGAAAAACAGCCACAAATTGAAAAAAAGTACATCCAGAAGCACTCTCTTTCTCTTGATATCAATACTTTATTTACAGCTTTTTTACATATTTTCACTTACCAACCCAAGCTCTCTGGCAGGA